AAATGCCGAGGGGAAAGTAAATAACTGTGAAATTTGCCACACGTTACACATTGTTGCTGTGCGATCGGTTGGTACACGCAGAAAAAAAAATCGTGGCTCTGCTAAGTTTTTAGCACCGGGGCTAAAAAATTAACTGAAAAGACCCGGCTAATTTATTTAGCACCAGGGTTAATTGTTTAGCCACCCAGTAAACCGCACCGTTTATTACCTGTGTAGCTAATGCCACTTAGCTCTACAGCTAAATATTTTTACATCCAACTATTTTTTTTGCACGGGTGTAAAATTGTACAGTTAAACTGATTTGCACGGAACTGAATTTTATTTTTCTGCGTGTACAAAGAAAACGGAAGTAACCAATAAATTTGAAATACATTTTACTTTTTTTTTAGTTGTCGCCGTTTTATCAAGACAGACAGACAGACAGACAGACTCGCGCCTCTCTTTGCCAACAACAGTCGTTGTAGCGGCGAGCGCCCGCGGGTAGACTAGCCCGCCGCGCGGCCTTGCGCTGCGGGACTGCCTATCGCTCGAGCTGCGGGCGCTCCGCTCCAGCCCGCCCCAGCTGCCGCTCCAGCCAAGGGAAAATATGATTGGGCTTCGCTGTACTTACACTGTAAAAGAATCTGTTCGTTTATGTACGACGTATTTTGTAATTTACCATTAACAAAATGAGTCGTACGTGTACTATCTCCTACCCTCTTGCCAGTAGACGCGCAATGCTTGTAAAATTAATAATCTTGAATTGAAATTGTACGACATCTTCCATGGAGAATTTTTTGTACCTGATACAACAATTTTCCGGGTGTATTTTATAAATTTATTACGTTAAGTACCAGGGTAAATTAGAGGGGTGGCGTTTTCCAGCAAAGCATAGCAACCATGTACCCACGTGCCTCAACGTGTAGTTCGATTTATAAAAAGGTTTATAAATTTTGGCTTTGATAATCCTGCGGTGTACATTGACAAACTTGAGCCAATTTTCAAGCTCACAAACACTGACGAGAAATTTCGGTTTTTACCTCAGTGTACCCGATGTTTTTGCATCATCACTCACCGAACCACGGGGTCACAGTTGTTGGCCGAGGCCACGGTCCGCGACTGCAGGTTCTTGGCCTTGAGCAGCGTCACCTGGAGCTTCTCCGCGGTCGGCTCGTAGTGCGCGCTGAACCACAGGCGGCCCAGGTGGTCCTCCGGGAACAGCATCTCCTCCTCCAGGTCGCAGGCGCCACCGCGGTACAGGGCCGGGTCCAGCGCCCCCAGCGGACAGCCGCCTGGAGAGGGGGAAAGGGCACAGGTCGCGTCAGTATGGTTAGAGATCAAACGCGCTCTAATTTAAATTCACAGGCCTTCAATATTGAAAATGCTGTGCAATAAATTTGTGAGCGACGGCGGCGGGGAGGGATCCCGTA